GGAGCATTTCACATAAGTCTTATGAATGCAATCTCGCTTTATATATCTGGGTTTTTTTATGTTGATGAAAAAACACTATCTTTTATATTTGGCTCACCATTCACATGGCTTAGTCCTCAACTGTGGCATTCAAATGTGCTATGCGACAGATAGCTACATTTTAAAAAGCTACCTTCAACCTCTTTTTACAATGTTCTTAGGCCAGCTTTTTTTTTTTTTTTTTGGTTTGACTCTGCACATTCAGATGCATCAGTGTGATAGAATTGTGTGCAATAAATAGAGATTAAAATATGAAAGGAATCACATGAGTTAAGTAGGTGTTAAGTCCAAAACAAGTAAATTTTTCCTACTGATTTCATTGCTGTATTTAATAAAACCATAGCTCAGCATATAAAATGGTATGCTTTTTATGCTTCTGTTTATCTTGGTGTTCCTGGAAAAATGAAGACATCCTGCAATTCAAATTCTGCTTAGTCCAATATGTAGTATAATAATTCACTCTATTCTGTACTGTTGTGTTCTGATGCAGGTTTAAGCTTATTGTGAGCTTGCAAAATATCAGTCAAAATGTATTTCAGAAATTCTTTCGCTGACAATAACATAACTAATGGCTTATGCTAACAAAAAAAATCTCTTAGTTTAAAAACTGTACTGTTCTTTTCATCTCAGTCTTAGCATTCTTAATTTTGCATTTAACAAGGTTATATAAAGTAGTATGAACAATTAAGCTTATTTGAATAAATGAGCACTTTTCCAGATAGTGAGGATTCAAATAGGTTAAAAACTACGACTCATATTTAGGAGGATAATGATTGCCATAACCATTACAAATACAATAAAAAATACTAATTCAAAGAGTTGCCTTATGTTTAAAGTACAAATAGTGGGACCAATTTCAAATGCCATCAGGTAAAGACAACTATATGAACTTCTTCTTAGCTCTTCAAGGCTGACAGTGATCCTAGTAGATTAGTCATACTACCTTATCTTTACTTGATACAACTTATTTTCCTTGTAGCTATTTAAAACTCCCACAAACCACAGATCTTTTAATTTTAGCTGTTACAAATGCTTGGAGTTAGTTGAGAAACTACAACGGTTAACCTTTTACGGTGTAGATGATACTTAAAATGTACACAAAATCACTTTTACTTAAGTGTATCATCCCAATACAAACAAAGCCTCGAGTGATCCTACCTAAAAGCATCCCTGTGCTAGCGGTAATGTCGTGGTTTAGCCCCAGCCGGCAACTAAACACCACGCGCTTGGTACCTCTGCCAGAGGGACAGTGGGAGGCTCTTGCCCTCCTCATTTACATTTAATGTCATACAATGAGGTATGTTCTGCTACGAAGGACCTGCTGTTTAGGTTAGAAGTGTCTAGGTTCATCAAGTTCATAAAAGTTACTTAGAATCATAGAATGGTTTGGGTTGGAAGGGACCTTTTAAGGTGATCCAGTCCAACCCCCCTGCAATGACCAGGGACATCTTTTACTAGACCAGGTTGCTCAGAGCCCTGTCCAACCTGACCTTGAATGTTTCCAGGGATGAGGCATCTACTGCCTCTCTGGGCAACCTGTATCATTGTTTTACCACCCTCATGGTGAAAAATTTCTTCCTTAGATCTTCAATGCATATTCTGAAGTAATAATTCTCAGCTTAACTTCCTGTCCTGTTTCCCCTTTTAATTTTAGTCCTTGTGTGAGTTTTCTCTACTTTCTCATTCTCTGATCTGTTTGAGCAACTCCTCTAACATTTAAAAACTTAAGTGTGGTGCTACCTCCATTAAATTGTGCTCCAAATCCTTAAATGTTCTGTGCTGCCAGGCAAGTGTAAATCTAACTTGGGAATTCATGATAGCAAAGCATAAGTTTGCTCTAACTTTGAGCATGTTGTCCAACCAATAGATAGATTGGGTTCTAAGACCTCCAAACCTCTGACAGGAAAACAAACATACTTTACAAAAGGGTAAGCAGAGAGTTTTGTTTGTTGTTTTGGATTAGCTACATGTCCTGACCTTTCACTGAGGACTTCAGCATTTGACAAAGTCATTGCTGTAGCATGCTGATGAAATCAGCTGATGTTGACTCCTGCACTAGTAGATCTGCTGTACTTCATCCAAGAACTGGAACAAATTCCTGTCAATGTGATTAGGAATAAAAAGTTAACACCTAATATCAGAAGAGGAATTATCAATCTGAAACATTTTCTTATGAAACATAGGTCAAATGTGTAGAGGCATTCATTCCTCAGTACTATCTTGAGTCCAGTGAGACACTGATGTTATTAAATAAACCTGCAGTTGTAGTCATGTTAAATACAAGTGACAAGGGTCATTTAAGGTGTCTTAATGACTTGCTTAAAAATTATCTGTACCAAAATTCTTATGTGTAATACTCAGGATTTCTCTTCAGCCATGCTAAGCTTAATGAGCAGCTGGGTGTGAGATAAAGCACTTGACACTTTCTCTCAATAAACACAGGCAAGTACCCAGTTGAAACAGCCACATGGTGACACTAACTTAGCTGAGGTTGGTTGGAGCTGACCACAAGATTCACAATTCATGGATGGAATTCAAGTGGGATTTTGTGTTGGGGTGAGGGACCCTGTGTTAGGCAAGCTGAACTGTCTCTCTTCTGCAGCATGTATTTTGTTGTACTCTTCCCTGAAGCCAGTGAACCAGATAAATGATTTTTATTTAAATTGCTATGTGATGTTCTTCAGTAGCACCTTGCTGCTTTGGAAGTTGTTTACAACAGTACGCTGATGATTATATGAGTTTTCTGAAATGGTTTAATTTGATTTCATGATGAAGTTAGTCACTTGAGGCAGGTTTGAATCCCCTGTTACTCCAACAGAAGGGGATCTTAACTATCTGAGCAGGAATTATTTCTAAAGCCTGAAAAAGTATGTGATAAACTACAGGTGTTAACACGACTGATTTCACTATTCTAACAGTAATCTGTAGCGTGCATCTTGCATCCAGGTGGTATCCTGTAGAGGCAGGAGTTTTAGCACTAATAACAAATAGTAGGGGTTGCTAATCACATTTTTAAGGCTCCTATCTGTGACTTTAGGAATGATGGAAGAAGTATCTTTATCGTGAAACTGTTTGAAGTAGTTTGCAAGTTACTCCAATTCTCAGTATTTACAGCTTTTATACACTACAGATAGCTCATGAAATAAAGCAGACATGATCACAACAGGCAGGAATTGCAGTGATCTAGTAACTGTTGAAGCAGTCTCAAAGGTTGCTCCTGAAGGTGTTGGGCCCTCAGGAAGGCAAAAGTGAGATTCAGAAGCAGAAACTTGAAGGAAGGTGAAAGATGCACATTGCTGTGATACTAACAATCAAGAAGGCAAAGAAAGGTTTTGGAGAAAGAGTCACCTGCACATTTGGTATAAGCATCTGTTCTATAGTTCTTCCTATCAAGTCTCCAACCTTTTAAAGACAAATCTAAGAAAGTACTTAAAGTTCTTATAGACAAAGATACTGGTCTAAAATTGCTTTCTTTGAGTATTTTGGTGTAGCTGGTACTTAGCCTTGAATATATAGTCAGTAACTTCCCCTGGCTAATAATAGTTTCTTAGATGCTTGCTTCTTATTGGTATGACCAGAATTGCTTAGTCTTAAATAATTCAGTACTTACGTTCTGCACAAGCCTGTTCAGTAGGAAAGCAGAAGTTATTGAATGTGTCAGAGAATCCAGTTTTGGCTACTGTCTTTCAAAACATAACCAAGAAAGGCACAAAGGGATTCTAATATTCATTCAGGCACTAGAAAAGTTGGAAACTGGACCCATGTCTTCAGGATGGAGCCATGATGACCATTCCATAGACTATTCTGAGATGTTGAGAAATCTGGTCTTTCTGTTGAAGATACTACTGTGACAGAGAATTTACATGTGGAAAACATGTCTGGTCTATGGCAGGCATAAGAGAAAAAGAGTGCCAGTTTGCTTCCAGCTCCAAATATTGTTCAGGCAGTTCTCTAAAATCAAAATGCATCAACTAGTCCTTTGACCAGAAGCTGGATTTTCAGTGCAGCCTTAATAGACCCATGGAGAGCAATTGCCGCTTCTGTTTGTGGTGAAAACCTGTTGCATTAACCTACTTGTACAATGCTTTTAATTTCTGTAGCAAGTTAGGAACACAAAAAACAACAGCTGTTTCAGGAGCCATAATGTAAAACAGCACTGCCATGTGCCTAGGCACAACTCTTAAATCTAACTATAATAGTAAAGGCAAGGAGGCCACCTCATGATGGCTGTGACTTTGTGCACTTAATATTATCCATAGAACTGGATTATGTAGTTTTTAATTATGGCAAATGCAGAGTACAATCATCTGAACTGAAAAGAAATTAAGTTATGCTGCTTATGGGGAGTACACTGAAGGGTGCAGCAGCATGTGAATTATAGGGTGTAGTTACACTTGCATAAAATACCCACCATTTCAGGGCTCCTGGAGTGTCCTTGAGCACCACTTACTACTGTTGTATGTAGCAGGTGGTCTTAACCCTTTTACCCCTTTTTTTTTTTTTTCTTCTTCCCCTCCTCAAACTATACATCCAAATTATTTAAGGCTTACTTGCTTGCAGCATTCAGGAGGAAGAGTTCATTGAAGTCTCCTCACTCTGTTTGACCCAAGCATCAGGGATTCCCTGCTTCTGTTCCTACTACTTGGGTAGAGCACTAGATGGTTTGACTATGTGCGAAAAACAAGGGACCAAGTACCAGCACAGAAAAACTTACGGTAGCTATAAATTTATGTCATGAAGAAATGAGAAAGGAGGCTTGTATTCTGGTTGCTAAGTCCTGACCCAAAGTTGTAGCTGAGAAATGAGTGGGCCAACAATGTCTCTAATTCACTGACACATGTCTTCATACCAGATAAATAGTCCATGTAATGTGTCCTTGTGATAACTGGCAGTGTGCTTGCCTAACGTGACAATTGGTACATTTGCAAGTGTTATGTACCTTGATATTTTAATCTTTATTTATGCAGGGACTCAAACCAATAGTTTCCACTGAATCCCCAGCTCTGATTTTTGGGACAACAACTAAACTTGCTTCAGATTTACCAGCAACTGATTCTTTCTTGGGTAAAAACAAGGTGCCAGACCTACAGAAACTTTTTCAGGTAACGAAAACTTTGAGAGTAACTTAAAGAGAACTGGAGAGTGGGACATATCTTTTCTTATTTTAATGTGGCTAACTACTTTTGTCGTTCTACAATACCAAGATTTTGTAAAGCCTAGTTAAGAAAGTGTTAAGTACAGTACAACCTGTATGACTGTACTATACTACCATGTACGCCTTGTATAGGAGATAAGTACAGAAAGTAGAAAGTCTAGCAACGTTGTTTGTCATTTTGCTGTCTGCAGAAGATGCTTATTGTATTAGTTGGCTATTGGAAGCACTTTCTGTCTGGGAATCCAAGCGCATGCCTTAAAGCAGATCAATACTGTTTTGTGTATAATAATTTGAACATTACTGAAGCTGTTTATAATGCAGTAAGAAGAGCACGGTAACGTTTTCAAAGCCAGTTTGTTAGCTATGCAGTTTCTAAGTGTAGTAGGACTTTTCATGAAACAAATCAGTTAAGAATTTTTTTTTTTTAAAAACATCAAGAATGTGCTTTATATAATGTACCCTTTTCTCTCTTACATGCCACTTGCATTTGGAATGTGTCAGTCTGACTTGGTGAATAACCTTTTATACATATCTTTTCATGTTCTTTTGTTAGTGACACTTTTCCCATCCAGGTCCTCTTTAGAAATATTTCAAGATAGATTCTTTCTGCCTGCACTTAACAGCTTTGCCTAATACAATTAACTTGCCTTTGTTTTGCTAAATGAAAAACACATGATACACTTGGTTGTAGATAGCCTATTTGTCAGGAGGTTTCCCTCATGGAAATCTCTTAATTTACCTGAGGTAGCTTGTTCCTTGTGACCTTTGTATGGGTGTTCATTTATTTATTTGTTTGTTTTCTTTTTAAACTCTTCCCACAGAAAGCAGATGGACTGCCAGTACACCTGAAACGAGGAGTTCCAGATAAGCTGCTTTATCGGACCACTATGGCTCTAACAATAGGCGGGACTCTCTACTGTCTAGTAGCACTGTACATGGCCTCACAACCAAGAAACCAAAAGTAAATGAACCACAACTCATGGGACTCATGACACTTCTCTGAAGGACCTCCTGCATGTATCTCTTTGCACTTGCTTTAATTCTGTGATCATAGGGGGTTTATTACTCAGAACAAATTTCTTGGAGAAAGTGTTTTTAAATTGGTTGCCTTACGCGTTCTAGAAATCAATATAAACAGACTTAAAGACATCATCTTAACATATGGTTGTAGCTTTGCATTTCTTGTTTTGCAGAAGTGTATGAACAGTTGGAGAAAATGAAGCTTTTCCTTCTTTCCCTCCCCCACCTTAAACAACGTTAGAGATGGGACAAATACTTTGTGGGCTATGCTCCACATTCCTTAGTGGGAGGATGCTGCTGGTTTCTAAAACAGTAAAAACAAGTAATTATTATAACGTACTGGGAACCTGTTTCTGTCATACACAGCTCATTTTACATAAGTAGGTGGCAGTGGAGCTTTTCCAAATGCTGGTATATTATTAAATATTTATACCTCTGGTGGTAGGATGAAGGGCTTATCCCCTTGGAGCGTTCAAAGTGGATTTATTCCATAACTTAGCATCACTGTATGCAGCAAAGTCCACCAGCATTGTAATATCAGTTATACCAGTTTTTGGACTTTCATTTGTCAAACTATCTTACTGTGCAATAAAGGTTACTACATGAAAACAGGCAAGTCTTGAAAGTTTCAGACCACTTCAGCTGGCCTGGTAGTAAAATAAACATATTTGTACACTTTTGTTTAATTTCAACTTGTAGATCTCAAACCAGACAATTGATTTGGCTACCTTACTGTAATCTTTTTTGAGATGGTAATCCTCTTAAAACCCTCTCTCAGAACTCATTGGGTGTTTAACTATAATTTTTGGTGAAACAGGTCACTGTCATAGCTCAGCTACGTATTATTTTCAGTGCACTCACATATGTACACACATACACACACATTTCCTTTGCTGTGTGGGTGGAAGAGAGAGAAGCCAGTAAAACCCTGTATTCATTCTC